ATTGATTGATTGATTAATTAATTATTTCCAGTCATACTCTCTCAAGGAAGGCTCTGTTAGAGTGGAGAAACTTTCACTGGGCTGCACTGATCGTGGGATACTGGCTCTACCTTCATGAGGACTAGAACATGTAACATGATGTGTTAAAAAGTGGGGCCTGAACAAATAAGGGGCGCTTATCAGAGACAAAGCACCACAAGGCCCTGGCACTGCAGTGCACGACAGACATTATCTTGCTATAAAATGTCTTGTAAAAACAGGTTCACTGCCCTGAGGCGACATTATTTTATTTTTGACAGGTAAACCTTTGCCTACTGGATGGCAAAGGCAAAGTGGACTTCAATTTGTTGTGCTGGCAGTATTTAAAGTATTTATATGTGCAACACACATTCCAGTTAATCAAAAGTTGAAGTGAAAGAACAATAATTGAGACAAGTGATGTGGCCGCTCTGATTGCAAACAACTAAATAGCACAATAGGGCAATCAAGGCAGTAAAAAAATTAAGTTGTATTTTAGAAGAGATTGTAAATGACGCAGACAAGGATATTTAAGGGCATTAAAAAAAGAAAAAGGGTGCAGTTCAACAAGTGACTTTGCAAAACCAAATGGCTTTAGATTCTGTATTAGCAGCAAAGAGAAGTGTTTGTGCCCTGATAGAGCAAGACTACTGTATTTTTATTCCAAATGATACTGAAAATGTTCATGAGGCTATGGACGATATAGAAAATACAGTACAAAAATTAAAGATGGGTCATGGAACTAGTCTCATTAGTTGGGTGGTTGGAAGAATTATCTGAGGCATATAATCATTTAATCAATTAGACAATGGTTGTATTCATTATCATACATTTATTTGTAATTGGTAGCCTTCGGATGAGCAATATAATTGTAACGAGATTGCTGCAAATCAAAGTTATCAATGTAAATGCTATCAGTGTGAATAAGTGTGTGTGTATGTGCAAATATCAGTCATAAAGCCAAAAGGCTATCGAGGAGAGAGACATGTTACAAAGGAAGTAAAATCCTGGAGGAAGCAGATGCGTGGCATTTGAACCGAAAGGAAAACCCAGATGGGCAGAGGAAGGAGGAAAAAAGGAAGCCACCGGACCAGCCCTGGGCAGCGGGTGCCGGGGATAAGGACCGCCAGGCCGCAGGTCCCCAGGTAGCCACCCAGGCGAGGTCCAGAGGGTGCTCCCAAAGGTAGATAGATACTGTAGATATTTAAAGGAAAGCTGTGAGGGACTCGGGTTAACACTTCACCATTCAGGCGGGTGACCATCGGACCTTGGCGCTGGTCTCTCCCAACCCCCTTGCAGACTTGGCCAATTTGTAGTGGGGAAAGTGAGCAAAAAAGTCTGTGTGCACTTGTAGTGCTTAAGCAGACTGTCTCCAATAAAGCTTCTGAAGGTCGACAGAGAGTCTCTGCGTGCTGTGCGTTACCTGGAGCCTTTCATTAGTACTCGGTAATATCCCGAACTCTGTAATACTCCTGATCTCCCTCTTAAGGAAGCTTTGCACGGGTGGCCGCTGGTAGATCTGAAGGCAGCAAATTCCTCCGTGACGCTGCTTCAAAGCCCCATTTTGGCCCATTCCCTGCTTCACCGCAAAGACATTTTTCATTGTTGATCCTCATGCCCTTTGCCAGATGTTCCCGCCTTCTTCAGACACACTTTGCTTGCATGACTTCTGTGACATTTCGGTTCTGCTTTGTTTTCATTCGACCAGGACTGCTCACTGGGACCCCCGCTAGCAGCACCTTGGCCTCTAGGCCCCCTTCAGCCTGGCAGCGTGGTTCCTGATATTTATCACGGTCATTCTGGGAAAAATGCCAAGCTTTTTAAAAATTGCATTTATTTATGTAATAAAAGTAAGAAAAACATAGTGAATAAAAGAAAACAACACAACACAACCGCACGAAGGATATAAGGATCTTATACACACTCTGTATATAGAATGTTACACAACAGCGGCAACAAGAGATGATCATCTTCCACAATCGTCACGTACACATAACCTACACCTGTAAGCAACTGAGATGCAGTTCTTAAATCACAAGGAATATCAGGTCTTCAAGGGCCTGAATCTTTGGGGCCACAAATTTATCTTTGCCTTCCACCTTCCTTTCGAAGAGTCCCTCATTTTAGAAAGCATTTCTTCTTCTGGTGTCAAATGTGATGATATTGGACTTGCTCTATAACTGTCTGTTTATAAGTGTGTTGAATGTAGTACGTCCCTTTTTCCTAGTTTGGTCATTATATTGTCCAGGGTCCCTTCCCTGTTCTTTGGAGGGCCTAGAAAGAAAATATCTTTCCAGCCAGACGGTGCATTGCCCCAGTATGTAAGGGGTGACCAAAGTCACTCACTATTGTTTTCATGTCCTTTGCGAGTAAAAACTTGCTCTTGAAGTAAAACATAACCGCTTTTTTTTTCTTTTTGGCAAACATCCATTTACATACATGTTAAATGCAGTATTATTACAGCCATCGCTCGGTGTCTGTCCTGAATGGGAACCAGAACGTTACTTAATTCAATCAGGGACCGGCTTCCCCCTGATTCGCTCCTTGACCCTTTGATCAAGGACGGGCATATTTTGCCTGCTGGCTGCAGATTAAATCTTTGGCAATTTTCCATGCAAGCATCTTCCTTATTGACCATCTTCCTTGATGAAGCCCCTGCAACCATCAGAAAGCTCGCAGAAATTTTTGTGGCTTTGAACGGACTTCAGATTCCTCCACGCTTTGATTAAAGGAGAGACGGCAGCAGGGCTCAGTGGATACCGCTGTGCGACTTTGAGCTGTCCAAACAAAGGAACTGCAAGAATATACTGCATTGCAACAGATGGAAAGAGTTACGGTTTGAAAAAAGCCCATATAAGACTTCTCATTCAATAATAATAATAATAATAATGACAACAGCAGCAGCAGCTTTGGTGTTATTTCACAATCATTCTGCTGCTGCTGCTGCTGCTGCTGCTGCTGCTGCTGCTATTATTATTATTATTATTATTATTATTATTATTATTATTATTATTATTAAATGAGAAGTCTTATACAGTATGGGCTTTTTTCAAACCGTAACTCTTTCCATCTGTTGCCATTCTTTCTGGGTAAGTAGCATTCTGAAAAACCAAAACTTTTGCAAAGTTCTGAACAGATACAAACTCTCCTCCGAGTTCAGCTCGCCTCCCGCTGACTTCTGGGATAGGCCAGGCCTTGGCAGAAGTATGGAAACTGTGCTGGGAGCCCCTGGTGGTCTCCCATCCACGGACTAGCCAACCCCTCCCTGCTGAGCCTCCAAGCCCAGATGAACCCCTCTCAGAGACACTCCGGGACGATTCGGAAGAGACAGGTTTGCCTGGAAAGCTGATCGCCAGAGCCCCGAGCCCCGCTTCC